TCGGAACAATGTCGTCCCCTCCAGTTGTATGGCCACGTCTGGGATGTTGTCATGGAGCCATGTTTCTGTTAAAGCAGACACACAGCAGTCCCTCCACTCTCTGTGTGTTTCTCTCAGCAAACGTAGCTCGTCCAGCTTGTTGTCAAGGGACATTGGAGAGTAGGAGCGACGGTACTGCTGATCTGGAGGGGTTGGCCTTTCGCCTAGCATGGATCCTGGTTCTCCTCCCCCTCTTTTGTTTACATTTGCACGGTTTGTGCTTCCTTCTTTCTCGGGTAACTGCCGGCGTAGTCTCTGATAGGATTCCGTGTTGGCATAGTATGTCCAAACCGATCGCCGCAATTTTAGCGCCATTTATTGTCCTGATGTTCAGCAAAGTCTCTCGGCTGTAAGTTTTGCAGAATGAACGTCAAGGAATGGCAAGACACTCAAAACGTTCACTCTCGCTGTCTCCTGAAGGGGCCGCTGCATCTGTGCATGCCACCATCACCATGGCAACCACGATGATGACCTCTGGTGGGAATCTAGCAATAACACGAGGTGCGTCATCATTGATGGTGGGCTGTGAGTCAAACCTCCGCTCTGTGAGAGTGGCTCATTAAATCAACAACTGCACACACGACTAGCTAATGCAGCGCTGGATGACACTGCATTGTTCTACAAGAGTCGCCTGGGTGCTGTGTCCACTACAAACACTCTCTGCCTGCTGGTGACCATGGATTCAACTTTAGTCTCAATTTAATCTTTCACTTAAATCAGTTCAGTTTTAATTTGGCCTCCATTTGACAAACTCTAAATAATGTACATGTTTCAAAAAGCCGGCTAACTATTGTTTATGTTCCTACTTCCAGCAGTTTAGCAGCAGAGCGTTAGGAACACATGAGAGACTGTCGAAGGAAAATTGTCAAGGATTTTTTTATTTATTTTATATTTATATTGATTTTAAATTATTTTTTGACATAATTTGTTTTAAATCTGTGGTTCTGAACCACACAGCCGTCTGGCTCATATCGATTTTTGTATCAGTTAATCTTTGCACCCCTGTTCAGAACAGCTTTTACGAAACTGTCAGCAGTCACAGCAAGCTCAGAAACAACATGCTTTCATATAACTGCTATGGCCTGTATGCCTTTAAACATTAAAGTACAGGAAGTGTGTAAAATGCATAGATGTCATTCTCATGTTTTTTGTAATTTACTGTAGATCAGGGAGAGATGTCACATATCTAAAGACATGTAGGAAATCATAATCATAAAACTTCACTCATATCTGGGGGGAAAAAAACTGTATATTAACCTTAATGCATGTTTTTTAATCCATTGAATATTTTGTTCAATTGATCTTAACTCAATTATAATTCAATTCAAAATTCTGAAAAATGCTAATTAAACAAAGAGAGAGAGATCTTAGGCCCAATAACTTGTAATTGCTATTTATGTCAAAGAATATGTCATTTTACGCTGTCGTAAATACAGTCTGTGTTTTACCCGGTTGGTCTTTACAGACTGACAGCATACAGAAATACAGAAATCATTACAGCTGCATTTTTCCTCCATAACAATCCTAGTCTCATAGGACATTTTTCATGTCTGCATTGGAAAAAAATCTTTTGAACTTAAGATTGAAAGTCATACTTTGATGACTCTTAGCTATGCCATATTCTCTCCCTGATCTGTTCAAAAGGTAGGCAGTCCACCAATCAGCCAGCCTCATTAGGCATGTTATTTATCCTTTAACAATCACTAATCTAAATTCTCCCAGGGCTGCTTGAGTTCCCTGCTTCCCAACACCTATCACTGCCTTGCAGGAGGCAGTCAGGCAGATAGGCGAGACAGGGACAGCCAGACATAAATCAACAATGGGAATGGGGCCCAGCATGGAGGCTGTAAATCAAGGTTGGGAAAAGTAGCCTATCAACCTACGAGGGTCACCAGTGCCCTCACATCGATGCCTCACTGAGTCATGCATCGCAGCACTGAGGGGCTGGATGGAAGGTGGTGAGTGTTTGAGGAGAGAACTGTGAGAGGATGAGGGAACCAGGAGAGGGAGGATCAAATCACGCTCAGCTAAACGAGTCCAAAATGTTAGTCATGTCGGACAGTAGGCTTTGTGTTGCTGAAATAAAGTCGTTTGGAAGTGTCATACTAACACTGAATTAAATGTAAACAGAATCTTCATGGTATTGTGGCCCATTCAAAATGCATAAAAAGCACCAAATCTGTTAAGTTGAATTTTCTCATGTTTTGTCAGTTCTTTCATTTATTTGCATTACAGGTGATGCAGGCATTCATGCTCCCCAGAGGATGATTCCTAAAGATTTTGGTGGTCAATCGGGCCAAAATCCCCCTTTGACACACATGTGTCTCCCACAGCATTTTAGCGTAGAGGTGTTCTGTCATTCTGTGTTTAGAATTGTTCTGACCTGTAAAATCAGGGTTAATATGTCAGGAAGCAGCAGTTGCACGACAGTAAGTAACAACATACAGCTTAGATGTAATGGCCAATTTCCATGGACCCCCGGGCTTAATCCAGTGTTTTCAGTAACCCCACAATTTTCCAACAAGCTGCAAGATTGACATTTTTATTTATACAAAACCAAAACATCAAGACTCACACGAAAATTACACTTTCCAGAAGATAAAGCCATCAAATGTACCGAGCACATTAATATCAAATTTAATCTCTGTAGAGGATAAACATTTTTAGATTTCAGTGACCCTCATTGTCGATCGGTGCCACCCTCAGGATAGATTTCACTCTTTTAGCCTGTTCAAGCCCGACAAAGCAAAATCATCAGTGTGTCATTCTGTCAAACACTGATAAAGTAGGGTGTGAGCTCTGTAACCAGCTTTTTTTATTCCAGAACTTTAGGTGTTTTCACGGCAGTGCAGTACGGCAGTAGATCAGAGAGCAACAAGACAAGAGAAACATGGACCAACACTTACTCCATCAGCTGCAAGTAAAGAAATGTTCACAACACTGTCTTCACTGGAGATGTGGGCAGAGCACTAGTTCACTGGCATACATTGTGACTTAATATATAATTATCTTTTATGTGGGTGAGATTATGACTTGTACACCAGTCATACAATGTTGTACTGACCAGATGAGAGTAGAAATATTCACACCACGCCCTGTTCAGGATCGCCATGTTCATCTGGCAGTATGAACCATCACAAGCAGAGGAACATGCACCGATGTGAAACTAATGGCTTTACCCCTGTTATGTTATACAGATATATCTATTAAAACAGATTCAAAGAAATAAGCCTGATGATGCTGTACATAAAAAAAGAAGAAATAAGACATGCTATACAGAGAAAGCAGCCGAACTTAAAGATTAACGGAGAAATGTGAATAATGGTTCTGAAGACATGGAGCATTGCATCGATACTTACAGAACTCTCTCATATTTTTGACCTTTACTTAGAGCAGAGGGGTCAGTATAGAGAAGTGTGGCTTTACCTCTCAAACTGCATTGAGTCCTCCACTGGCCTGACGCTGCGATAAAACACTGCCTGAGCTCGCAGACTTTCTTTACTACTCTACACACCAGCAAGTCATCTGCTGTTCTCATGCAGTGAACGACAGCTAAAAAGACTGACACAGAAACATTTCTCCCATTGGAGCCCACCGTGTCTGTTAAATGCTGCACATTCAGTCAGCTGAGTAAAAGGCAAAGCAGCTCAGCCACCACCTCAACGCAGAGAAAAGGAAAAGCCCTGACACCTCCCCCCACCGCAGAGATAGATTAAAAAAAAAAAAAAAACCCTAATCTTTAAATTCCAGATTCCCGGGCCTATTGTCTGTGTGCTGGGGATTTGGCATCAGCCCAATTGGGATGTAAATTCCATATTTGTGAGAGGGTAAGAGAAGCGCCTGAAAGTCAAAGATGGAGCAACAACAACAACAAGAAGGGGAAAAAAATAGTAGAACAAATATATTCACAAATTACCTCTGATCTGAATTAATTAAACTAAAGAAAATAGTTAAGTGACTTTCTCATCTAAGTAGTATTGATTATCTTATAAAGAGTCAGATTATTGTGTCTCCTCAGTGGCTGGAAGCTGCTGGTTTGGAAAGCCTGAAGAATGTGTATTGATCGTGAATAATTAAGCACAAGGTGAGAGTTTTTTCAGAGCACATGAAAAAGCAGAGGTTTCAGGATCCATTTCATTTCATATGCTGACTGCATGTTCACAATTACCACAACAAAACAGGAATTATCACAGAATGTTCTGAGCTCAGGATTTATCAAATGACAGGAAATCCAAGTTTTTACATAAAGCAAATGAAAGTACCTTTTATTTGGCCTGCAGGGAGGAAATACATGGGAGGAAATGAGTAAAGGGGTTTCTTTTAATAGAAATCAATTTTAGTCTGGGTATAGCCAGCTGTAGAGCAATTGAAACACAGCTCTGGCAAAATTCTCAGCACAAAGGGATGTGATATAAAACACCTGCCATCTTGTGATTGGGTGAAGAAAGGGGGCTCAGGAGGCCCCATTCTCTCTAAAGGCGTCCTTATCACTGCCTGCAGGACCGATGCCATTAACCTGTGCCTCACTGGTTAACTGTGCTTAGATTAGCTTTCTGATTTTACAGCTCAGTCACACATGTGTGCGCACACACGCACACCTGAGATGCTCTGATACCTGGTTTAATAGCAGAAATAATCCCTAGCCTGAAAAGGGAAAAATCCAAGTAATGTGAAAAACACTGAAACCTTCATGTTCGTGATAAGGTCTTTAACAATCCTGTTAGGTAGCGTGATAAATGAAGTCCCACTGGACAGGTGAAATCAGTTCACAAAAGAAATTCTTATCCTAGCTGAATTTGAGTGGTTCTCCACAGAACACTCAGTGAAGTCAGTTCTTATTTTAACTAGCTTTTACAACTTAAATTTAAAGTTGATGAGTTTGTTTCACAGTTGGAGTTCCTGCCAACATCTATCAGCATGAATGATGTCAATGTCAGAGACTTTAAAGGAGTGTGCGTTACCTTCACTGCAGAAGCGGCCCTTGTACTCAGTTTTGGAGCAGTCACAGACCGGCTCTCCATCCACCACTGTGCATGTCCCACCATTCTCACACGGGTTCATGGTGCACCACCCCTCGGACTCCAGGGGCACCTTAAGGCTTCCCAGGAACAGGGGCTGTGAGATGCCATATTTGAGGTCTGTAATTGTTCCCCTGAAGGGCTGCATGTTTCGCACTGTAGGCAGTGTAAGTGCACCGTTGCGGATATCCTGAGGCACTCCACCCAGGAACAGGTCGCTGACTATTTTCATGAACTGACGCTGAGGCTGCACTTCGTCTGCTTTGGCCTGGCCGTCCAATACCAACACTGTGCGCAGGTTATACCTGCTCAGGGTGGCAATGTGCCAGCTGCCATCATCTACTCGTCTGTCAGACACAATGGTGGTCTCAGCACAGTCGATGCTGAAGCGCAGCTGCAGCCGTCCCTCCACCACCGAGAGCTGCAGAAAGTCACAGTAACCTCCATCATCAAAGTACAGCAGCAGCGCCTCTGAGGCCTCTGTCTTAAACTGGAAGCTGAGGTCACCGCGGGTGCTGGCGTCCCAGCGGAGGTAGCGTGCCCACTGACCTGGTGTACCTAAAAATTCCAATCCCAGACATGTGCTGAGGAACAATTGCAGCCTGATAGAAAAACCTACAAGATCCATAGCTGCAAATATTTTTTTTGTTAATCCAAGAAAGTCTGAGGGGAATTCAATCAGATTGAAATCTTAGGGTGCTTAGACTGAATTTCAGGGATCCACAGTTTTATCCACAATAAGTATATAGATATATTCAGATAAATATTTCATATAAAAATATGTTTTCAAAGGGGAAAGGGCAATAGCAGGAGAACAGTCGTTGCATTTAACAGTCTTAAGATAAATCACAATAATTTGTCCAGTAGCTGCAGGGCAGTGATCGTATGGAGGAATTGTTGTTTTCCTTTTTAGGGTTAAAGAGCGGGCTAACCACAGGAGGAGGTGATGTTTTAATATGCTTTTCTACGCTTCAGAACAGATGAAATCAAGACTTGACGTGCAAGGTCTGATGGAATGGACTTCTCTGGATATCAGGGAGAGTAGAATTTCCTCCTTCATTTTGTCCGCCGGGAAACGAAGCTGACAAGGAATCTGCCGGCCTCTCTCAGTTCCATCACTGTCAGAAAAAAAAGAGAGACAGAGGGTTATGAAGGGTTTATCAGCATTGATTTCACTACTAATAATACTGGAGCATACATCTAAACCCATGACAGCAGCACATGATATCAGTGTGAACAATCTAATTTAGAACATAGATACATGAAGACAGCCTGAAGCAGGACTGCTGTCATGCACGGTCACATGCAGTTTGTTCATTGTACATGTGCAGTGGTAGACAGTAAATATTAGTACATTTAGTCAAGTACCTCGTCGCTCTGGATAAGGATTTCCATTTTTTGCTGCTTTAAGAAACTGTCTGTCCCACATTGATCTAATGATGATGAGGAGGACATATGAACCATATATAATTATGTTAAGTCCTATTCTAACTCACAAAAGAAAGAACATAATTATATTGACATGTAAAAAATGTTTTATTTAGAATCATTATTGTGTGTTTAAAGCCTTACTTGTATTTTATAATGCTGTACTGTACTTTTCTTAATTCCTGGACTTATTACTTATGGCTGTGATCAACTTTATTTTACCTACTATAGACTGGGCACAGCTTGATGCATCATATATAAGCAGTTGATATTTTTATGTATCTAAAAGTATTTACAATTGCGACATTTATCATGTTTACACAAGACATATGTGATCGACAAATGAAATATGTTGCATGATTGCAGATAAACTAGCAGTATATAATGTGGTTAAAATTAAAGCTTGAAGAAATGGGAAGTGCATTCTGTGTACATTTTTGCCCTTTTATTCCAGCTTGTTTTTTTTTTTTACAGTATACATGTTGTGGTGGCATCTGCCAGCCAGCATGTTTCAGGCCCACAGGAGCTGTAGCAAGAGCTGTAGAAAGATACCGCCCCCCCACAGCCTCAGATCAAACACTAAGAGCAGGATGTGAGTGTAATCAGAGGTAATAAGTGCTGTGATGGAGGGTACGTCCAGTTTCTTAGAAAGAAGAGGTTGACCTTATTTTAGCTGACTGCTCACAACTAGCATGAACAGTGATGTTGGCAGTCATCAATGCTGAATAAAAGTGCCTGTGAAATTGCTGCATTTTTCCCTCCTCTAAAAAGGTTGTTTGGAGTTATCGGTCATCTGCTGGGTAAATTAGTCTCATTATTCTCATGGCAGCGCATGACTATCAGTCAGCCAGGCAGACTGCCTTTATCTGATGACCAGCCTGGAGAGACAGCTTTCTGCTGAATCTTGTTGAATAATGAGAGGCACAAAGGGACACAAACAGGTACTGGTTCAATGTCCAGCAGCAAGTATTGTGTTAAACTTATAAAAGATCCACGTTTGTATAGTATGTATGTATAGATGTATAGATGGATAGATGGATAGATGGATAGATGGATAGATGGATAGATTGATAGATTGATAGATTGATAGATAGATAGATAGATAAATAGATAGATATTGATGCGTTGTAAAACAAACCTCCCAAAAACGTAATCTTTTTCACGTTAAAAAAATGGATTTATAATTTATTCTCTACAATAAAGAGAATGTAATTAATGACTCACCAAAATGTAAATTATAAAATGTTCTTGATCATGTTCAGTGTTCATTTAACATATCAGTAAAACATTCACTGTGAACAAATGTTGTCTGTGATTCTTTAATATCCTTTCCAAGAATCAAAAGCATAATGAACATAGAGAACACAGTCTAATATTCATGCATGTTATCAGTGCATGTCTGCTGCTCAGGGCTGCTCAGTTATTTTACAGACAGCATCTGCCTGCTACTGCTGGATCCCAGGTTGATGAAAGTGCTGATTCAGAAAGTCAGGCACAATTTCAGGCAGTAAAACCGAAACAATGCACTAAAGGAGGTTAAAACAAACTGATAGGAACTGCAGAGATGGTTGATGATGATAGTGTTAGTTTTTACAGTCATATGCATGATCATCAGCTTTCATTTGCTTCCAGTCATCTGATCGAGCTCTCCATGTAACATGCCTCGCTAGCACAGAATACAAACATAATTCAGTACCAAGTGTCTGCAGAACCATCTTTTTTATCAAAAGCTTTCTGAACACACATGCCAAAATCCTCTGAAAATGAAACGGTGGTGTAGCAGAGGTTAACTCTCACATCCAAGGATTTTGTTTTAGACATGAGGGTCAGTGCAGTGAAATGAAACAGAGTAAGGTTGGATTCTACATTTTTTTAAAATAAAAATAAAGAAAATTGTTAAAATGCCTTAAAATAGTCTGACTTATTAGACATAAAATCTTGAACTGAGGAAAAGGGATTACAGTGAGATGCATGTATGTATATTGGCGATGACAGCATATCACGGCACAGCTGATTCTAGTGGCTAACCTGCCTGTGGAGGGGCAGCGTGTGTTTGAGAGCGAATAATCCACGGCTGCCTGGATGTCTGCCGGCACTCCTGAGGGGGCTGAATTTTTCATTAGAAGATTTTATGACACTTCACTCAGCTTGTGCTGCGGCATGTATTAGTAATAGTATCTTTACATGCACACTAGCCCCCCTTGTCTTAACCTGGTTTTAACCATGGTCAATAATACACAAAAAAGCAATTATTATATATTAAATTGTATTTTTTCTCGTAATTAAAAATCTTACATTTTAGCTCTGCATCAAAAGGCGTTCACATAAATATAACACAAAACACCTGCTGGCTCATTTGATTCGCTGCTTCTCACTGCTCGGCCACATAGTTGATTCTTTAGGCTATTTTGTGGCTCAGCGGGTCACGTACTCTCGAAGCCATGCCATCAGGGTTTTAGTGGAGTACAGTGGGGCAACTTTGACAGCTGTCATTCAAGGAGCAGACTTCTGCATTTAGAACTAATTTTAGAAATGCCTGGCTTAGGTGCCTGCAGGATGTGGTAGGAGTTTACATGCACTCATTATGGACTTAAATGGCAATATTGGGCCTTTGATTATTTCTTTGGATGTTTCTTCCTCTTGAGCAGAATTATGAACAACTTACATTTAAGAGCAAAATATCAGGAATTTTACGCACAGGTTGTCATCTATTTTGGGTTTTCTCAAATCAACACAGGGTCACAATCCTACACATACCAACACAGATTTTTCACATAGTGGTACTGGAAGTTCCAAGATGCTTTTTAATTTGACATGCTTAAGGCCTCTTAACTTGCTGTCAGTGATCATGACTGACGACAGCTTGTCTGTGCCAACATAAGGGTTTGACTGACAGCCCTCGTGATCAACCAACACACAGTGGAAAGTTCAAGGGTCTCAGTGCAGACATGATAAAGCAGCTCTGTATTCCAAACTGACATTCTTACACTGTACTAACTAAACTGCATTCTCAATTACTTTTTGAAACATATTTTCTCCCTGAAAGGTAGGACTGTGATGTACTAGCCAGGGTGGACTGCTAAGAAAAAGATAGCCATCCAGCAATCCCAATTTTATACACCAAATTCAAACGCACTCTGTTAGTTGTATTGTTTTGTTGTTTGTTTGTTTTTGTTTTTTTATGTTTTCCTCCTGATGTTCATGTCTACAGAAAGTAAAAACTCAAAGTTCAATAAATGTGTTGATTCACTGACATCTAATATGACTTAATAGCTGTTACTAACATCAGAATTATTTAAAATACTGCAGCATACTTGCTATTCATTCTAATTACTTTAAAGCAACAATAAATCGTTTGAATGAAGTCCAACCTGATTATATGAATACTGTAATAGGCTCTAATTTACTCCACAGTCGCACAAAAACATTGAATGGTGGACCTCTAATTGGATCTGTGCTGGTTGTTGCTCCGTCCTCGTCCATTGTTATATAGATATAATCCCCTGTTGGTTTAGATTACAGAGCAAATCATTTTATCTTATGTGTTATACTACATTTTTGAAAATGATAAATTAACTTTTTTTTTTTTTTTTTTACCCATTTACAGTCAAAGCTGATGACCATTTTTCAATACTTTAGAGAAATTTAGTTTAAAGTTTGATGGCTAAATGGCCAAACCTGCAGTATGACTGTGTCTCTGAAACCCCAAGGTTAAGAAAAGCATGTAGTTAGTTCATTTAGCTGGTTTACAGCAACTGATGTTTCTGCTTCTCCACCACTATCCTCATCATCACCTGCAGTCTTCTTGATAAATCCATTATATCTTAGCACATTGTTATATCCTGGTAGCATCAGCCAGCCATGCTTTGTTTTTTGGGGTTTTTTCTATGTACATTTTGATGAGTGCTGGATACAATACTTCAACATTTTACAGATTCCATCAGCTGTGGTGCTGTAGCTAAGATAACCTATTGAATGTCAGCAATAGGCTATATAATGCTGGTGTTGGAGAGAAAATGGCCCGTCTGTGCCTGTGTTCTAGGAAATGCCTTGAAAGAGTCACAAAGTCCATGATAAGAGGTTGGACACGTGCTGGTGCCATAAATGTGCAATCGCACATTCACCCTGAAGAGTGGGGTTCACGTCCAGTGTGGCCCCATTAATTAAACTTAAATTAATTAAACTCAGTGTTTGATAAAA